TCTCTCCCTTTCCTCATCCTGGCAGCTGTGAATTAATGTTTTGTCCTTAAGATCTGCCTACTCTACTTTTCACACACAGCAAACACTGCAAACACTGACCTAGTGAATACAGAGTCAGGGTCAGGTGACTGTGAGATTCTGGCCATAACATTTTCAACAGCTAGTTGATACGTCATCTTGTTTTCTGAAGACACCTTAGTTGCTAAGCACTGTTGAGTCATAAATGTTGAACTCATGGTCTGCATGTCTTAACAACGCTTCTCTCGTACCACCTCTACATCATGAGGCATATCTCCTGTGCTGAGGGTACCAGACAGACTTCATCCCTTTGCTTGGGGCAACTTGAAACAGCAAAATCATCAACCAGAGACACAAAAAAACTTGTGCAAACAGCGGCACTGAACAAACTGTAACAATGATGTTGGCTTATCACAGGAGCTAAGAAGAAAACAGAGCCTCATTGTGTTCAACCTCAGCTAAGAAGGCGCACATCGGGTGACTCTGGTTTTCTAGTACTCGGTGCATGTCCTCAAATGACCCAAAAATCATGGTGAGTGCTGATTTGGGGTTACAAGTAAAATTCAGCAAATAGACAAGTTGCAAATATAGGACGTTTGAATAATGAGGGCCTTGGGTGTCTAGCAAAGGCCAGCTTCACACCGTGGCATGTGTCAGTACTTCATTCCTCATGGCCAGGGGACATGCCCTTGTATGAAGATGTGTGTTCTGTTATCCACTCATCAGCTAGTGGGTATCTGGGGTTGTGTTAATGAACAGTGCTGCTGTGCACACTCACGTCCAGTCTTCACATGGACACACATTATCTAAACAGCATGGATTCTGTTGGTGGGTTTATATCTATCCTTGCAAAAAATACTGGCCTGTCATTTTAAAATTTTTTTCCCCCTCGGTCATGGGGCTTGAACTCTGGGCCTGGGCGCTGTCCCTGCGCTCTTCAGCTCAAGGTGAGTGCTCTACCGCTTAAGCCACAGTGCCATTTCTGGTTTTCTGGTGGTTAATTGGAGATAAGAGTCTCATGGACTTTCCTGCCCGGCCTGGCTTTGAACCATGATCCTCAGATCTCAGCCTCCTGAGTAGCTAGGTAAATTATTTAAATTTTAAAGTCACAAATACCTTTTAATCTTCACAATGATAGTCATCATTATCTTAATCTACATTGCTTATGAACTCTATGACCTTTAACAATAAAACTATTTTTTTTTTTGGGTCCGGTGGTGGGGCCTGAACTCTGGGCCTGGGCGCTGTCCCTCAGCTCTTCAGCTCAAGGCTAGTGCTCTACCACTTGAGCCACAGTGCCACTTTGGGCTTTTTTCTTTTTGCTTATGTGGTGCTGAGGAATCAAACCCAGGGCCTCAGGCATGCAAGGCAAGCGCTCTTCCACTGAGCCGCCTTCCCAGCCCCAATAAAACTGTTTTTTAAAAAATCGGGTGATACATAAATTTCTTTCCTTTCGCTGAGGATCATCAGCTGTTCCCTCTTGCTCTCTCAACCCCCTCCATCGCTGCCTTTGAGTTGCTTAGTTCACTTTCACCCATGTCCAGGCAGCTGATGGGCCCCTCTGCTGTATTTTTTCGCCCGTGTTCTCCTGATTCAGTGCCCTCCTCCCAGCTGTCCTCAGATGTGCACGTGTATACACCATATATGAGGTCAAGAATGAGTCATCTAAAAACAATAGGACAAATTAAGAAGTCCTTTGTGTCCTTATCTTTGGGGCTCTTTTCAGTATACTTGTCTGTCATTTCACTGTCTTGTGTCATTTGGGAGACGAGATGACTGTGAGTGGCAGATTAAGTTTTCTACATGTAGCTTGGATTTACTTCAGAATGTATAAGGAATGCTGACTTTTTCCCCTGTGCTAGCAGTACAGTTTTCATTAAAGTAGACGTCACTGTGGAACGCTACTCTGGACACAGTGCGTGAAGCAGGTGACAACACCAGTGTGGCACAGTGGCCACTGGCCTTTGGAGACCAGACGCTGTGGACAGGCTGTGGACTGGGGGTGGGCCCTGGAGACCCCACTAACAGGAGACATTGGGTAAGTGTGTCTCAGTGTCCATAGGTGTACGAGTGGCCTGACACAGATTCTGGCCAGAACTCCATGAGGAGGGTGAGGAGGCCCGGAGGTTCCCAGTGACCTCGGCAAGGGGACAAGGAGGCGTCTGTGCGCCTAGCCAAGGACTCAAGAAGACAAACATACAAACATTTAGGAGGCAAGTGCTGCCCTTGCGTCTTACAAAGGGACTGTGGAGCCCTAGAAGGAAACATATGTGTAATACAGACAGGGCGCAGGTGTCAGCCTGCAAGCTAGCGGAGGCCACGCCAGCTGAGCTGCAGGGGAGACTGACGCGTTCTGCCTTCCACACACAGGTCCCTGTCTTCCTTTAGCTTCAGTAGCTTCACGGTGACAGACTGTGCCTCCCCCAGGCCACCATCTGCTGGGACGTCAAGCCCCAACTCTGCAGCTTCCTCGGCCATGGGTGCACAGGCTGTCTGCTTAGAGCGTTCCCTTCTTCACTTTGCAGAGCTCTGCTCTGGAGCCGCTGCTGCACAGCCAGGAGTGAGGCCTATGGTCCTCAGAGTCCGGTGGAGACAGACAGCAAGCTGCCTGAGAGGCACCGATAAATAACATGCAAAGCAGAACTGAGGATGCAGAATGGGGCAGAGGGAACTGTGAGCTAATTAGAGAAGACGGAGGCCAGACTCCCTGGGAAGGTGGTGAGTCCACAGTGACGTGGCAGGCAGTTCCATCAGGGCCGGAGGCAGCCGATGGCTACCGCAGTGGGCAGCAGTCAGAGAACAGAGGACAGGGACACTGCGGGGTGAGCGGAGCTGCAGAGACCGCAGGAGTGCTGAGCCCTCAGCCACCCAGCCGCTGGGAAGGACCGGCTGTGCAGGCTTCTCAGCACCACCAGCACACACACAAGCTGGGCCAGCATGCAGCTGCAGAGCAGAGAACCTGCCTGACGGAGGTCAGGGGTCTCCTGCTGCTTGCCATCGCCACAAGAAGAACAGACACTCACCACAGGGCACAGACTGTGAGCTGGCACACTGCTCAGCATTTCTCCTCACAGTAACTTGGTGGGTAGTGGCCTGGCACGTGCATTTTGTAAACAAGGGCACTAAAGAGGACACAGAGGGCAAGGGCTACATATGCAACCCCGGCAGCCAGCTCCCCACCTCGGTTCTCTGGTCCTCTCAGTTAGAACACTACTACTGCTTTCTCTGGCCTCTGAGCAGAGTCCCCTACAAAGCCCTTCCAAGACCCACCCAAAGAAGAGGAAACACACTACAACGTGTTGTAGTGATTCTGCAAGAGTCCCCTCTGGTTTCTCCGCCCTGAGAAACTCTGTGCGCACAGTAGGTTCTCCCCAGGAAGCCGCGCCTTTCCAAGTCAGCTGCACTGTGCGTGCAGGTCTGCCACAAGAAGGAGGAGTCATCATTACCAAATCAATTACAAAAGTGTCATTTCTGAATTTCAAGCCTCACTATAGCTCGATCTTCATCTTCTTTTATATTATTTTTGTCTAAAATAACAAGGTTCTCCTAACTTTTGAGACAAGCACTTCTGAGACGTGAGCAGCATGAGTCCTACCACAAGCCCCACACCAGCTCCAGCCACTCCAGCCTCCAGCCTAAGTTAGTCATTCACTTTCACATGAAATTATAGCGTGAAGCCTCTAGCAGAACTAGCCCTTCACAGCTAAACATTTACTAAAGATATAATCTAAAACTCACATCCCTGCCCCCATCTTAAGAGATGTGGAAAATATAGACTACAGACCACAAGTTTCATTCTTAGGCTACTGATGTGTGATGGTCTTCTTCATTACTGAATTCACTTGCTCCTGGTTAAAATACTAGAAGTATCAGTACTTTTTGTTGTTGTTTTTGTTGTTGTTGTTGGTCGTGGGGCTTGAACTCAGGGCCTGGGCGCTATTGCTGAACTCTTTCAATCAAGGCTAGCGCTCTACCACTTTGAGCAACAGGGCCACTTCCTGTTTACTCCATATTTAAAAGGCAGAAGTCAACACGATTTAAGGTAGAAATGCAGTTTAACTAATCTTGAACTTATTAAAAAATGTAAGCCAGGTGCTGGTGGCTCATGCCTGTAACCTAGCTACTCAGAAGGCTGAGATCTGAGGGTTGCAGTTTAGAGCCAGCCCAGGCAGGAAAATCCATGAAACTCTTATCTCCAATAAATCACCAGAAAACCAGAAGTGGTGCTGTGGGCTCAAGTAATAGAGTGCTAGCCTTGAGCTGAAGAGCTGAGGGACAGTGCTCAGATCCAGAGTTCAAGCCCCACAACTGACAAAAATAAATAAGTAAGTAAATAAATAAAATATGTTTACCAAAATATTAATTTAAAAAATCTGCCTAGGCCAGGCTCTGGTGGCTCATGCCTGTAATCCTAGCTACTCAGTTGGTTGAGACCTGAGGATCGTGATTCAGATACAGAACATTAGGAAAGTCCATGAGACTCTTATCTCCAATTAATCAGCAAAAAGCCAGAAGTAGAGCCATGGTTCAAGTGGTAGACTGCTACCATTGAACAAAAAAAGCATAAGGGTAGTGCCCAGGCCCTGAGTTTAAGCCCAAGGACTAGCACCAAAAAACAAAAACAAAGACAAAAACAAATGTAGTCAGCCTCTGGTGCCTAATGCCTGTGATCCTAGCTATTCAGGAAGCTGAGATCTAAGGATCCTGGTTTGAATCCAGCCTGGGCAGAAAAGTCCATGAAACTCTTATCTCCAGTTAACCATCAAAAACCTGGATATAGAAGTATGCCTCAAGAGGTAGAGCACCAGCCTTAAGAGAAAAATCTAAGGGACATTGTTCAAGCCCTAGCAGCAGCATGCATACACGCATGTGTGTGCATACACACACAGATTTACTACAGTCCCATAATGCCACACTAAATTAGAAACTGTATTTTTTTTCTTAAATGACTTTTAAACATGCAGGGTAGCTCAGCTCAGTACCTCGTTTCTGGATGAAGACTCTGAGCAGGGGATTCGCACTGGAGACCGCTTTGCAGAAATTGTCATCGTTGTTGATAGGCAGCAGGTCCCCATGCACATCTGCGTAGCCGATCGTCACATCAGTGTTGGAGATGTGATGGGTGTGCACAACCAGCTGGTAGAAATCTTCAAACTTCCCAGGCTTATGACGGTCTAAGGAGAACCTTCGGAATTCAGCCCCAAACTACAAAGCAAGACACGGGGACACGTATAAAATCAGAAGGAGTTAGCCAGGTAAAAGTGCAGTTTGTTCACAGAATAAACCAATTGTTACCAAGTCTCTATGAGGCGCTGGAGACAGAGGTCTCAGTATGTTGTGCTCTTATAACTGATAGGGAGCAAACAATAAATTATTAGGCAGGAAGCGGGGCATCGAGAAATGGAAAGGTCCTGATCAAGGAGCAGATGCCTTGACTCCACTGGCCAGGGATGGCTCTTTGTCCACAGGGACAAGGCCCTAAGTGAAGGCTGAGCAGCCCTGTGGGCTCAGCTTGTTGGAAAAGCAGTGCCACGGCCTATTATAAATCCAGATGTGCTACAATGGTATGACCGATGGGTCATACCAGTAAAACTAGAGGAGGCCAAGATCTGAGGCTCCTTTTTTGAAGCCAGCCTAGGCAGGAAAGTCTATGAGACTCCTATTTCTAATTAACCAAAAAGACAGAAGTGGAGCTGTGGCTCAAGAGTTAGATTGCAACCCGAGTGAAAACGTTAAAAGATCCTGACCAAGCCCTTAGCTCAAGCCCCAGAAACAGCACGCTCTCTCTCTCCCTCTCCAGATGTGGAAGAAATGGGGTCCATGTGGACAACAGGAGTCTTTAATTCCTCAGTCCACTGAGGAAGGTCCGAATAGACTTGTAGCAGGGCTCAGAAAACTCAAATAGGACAGAAAGTATCCTTCTGTATGTTTTAATAAGGGCAAATAAGAAACACCCTGAATTGATTTTTTTTTGTCAGTCTTGGGGCTTGAACTCAGAGCCCGGGCGCTGTCCCTGAGTTCTTTTGCTCAAGGCTAGAGCTCTACCACTTTGAGTCACAGCACCACTTTATAATTTTTTTTTTAACAGGATCTAATGTTCATACTTCAAAAGGATCAGAAGTGGAAGGAAATCTGGAAACATGGAGGACCAAGATATAAAGCCTGCTTCCCATCAAAGGAGAAAATATGGTGGATTTTGGTACTGGCAAAAAGAGCCAGTCTCTCCAGCTGGAAGGTGGCTCAGTGGTACAGTGCTTGCCTTGCATGCATGAGGCCCTGGGTTTGATTCCTCAGCACGACATAAGCAGAAAAAGCCAGAAGTGGTGCTGAGGCTCAAGTGGTAGAGCACTAGCCTTGAGCTGAAGAGCTGAGGGACAACGCCCAGGCCCAGAGTTCAAGACCCACAACCGACAAAAAAAAGGAAAAAAAGAGCCAGTCTCTCAAACGCTCTTTTCTGGATTGTAACTCAATGGTCTCAACTGAGAAATGCCCAGGGGCAAATCTCTTTTCTTGAATACCCTGGTCCCAACTCAACTTTTCAGAGCTTAACAGCCACCGAGAGGACCTTAGAACAGCTCCCATGGGTCATCTCTTGAAATACGCAAGACCTGAGAGTATTGGCTCCAGACAGTCTTCAGTATAACTGAATACTAATTAAACGGGTTCCAAATGTACAAGAATTAGGTGTCAAATATTACATAAAACTAGTCATTATATAACAGACAAAACCATCTCTAACTACTGGGAGCTGCATCAAATCACCCGCAGGGCTCGCAGAGTTCGGGGTGTGGCCCCAGACTTTCTGTTCTTAGTAAGTCGCCCTGAAGCTGATGTTAGTGGCCAGAGACCACACAGAAAGCCACTGGGTTAAGGGATCAGCCACCAGCTGCTGAGGATCCATGTGAAGGCTGCGGCATGTCTAAGCAGCTCCCACCGCCGCCGCCGCCGCCTCGGCTGCTTCTCGCCCGTCTGTACGGGATCCCGCAGGCACCCAGCGATGGGACAACTCACAACGCTAAGTTTGGGGAGAACTACCTTCAATGGCTAATTAACAAGGGGTGGGGTGGGGTCGAGGGGAGAGGGATGGATGAGTGAGGAGGAAAGGGGGAAGAACGCAGTCAAGAATTCAATGTATGGGCTGGGAAGGTGGCTCCGTGGCAGAGCGCTTGCCTTGCATGCCTGAGGCCCTGGGTTCAATTCCTCAGCACCACATAAGCAAAAAGAAAAAAGCCAGAAGTGGTGCTGTGGCTCAAGTGGTAGAGTGCTAGCCTTGAGCTGAAGAGCTGAGGGACAGCGCCCAGGCCCAGAGTTCAGGCCCCACCACCGGACCCCCCCCAAAAAAAGAATTCAATGTATGCCCTACAAAACTGAGAAAAGTGAGGGGAGGCGTGGGCTAGGAGGGAAGTGTGGAGAGCTGAAGGCGTGACATTGGTCAAGATGCTCGGTTACACAGCAACTCCTTCGTGCAACTACTTAAAGCCACTGTAATAAAATAAAACAAAGGCAGTCTCCTCTACCTACTCAGCAGGGGAAGAAGTAGTTGCAGAAGAAGTATTCATAGTTCTGAACGTGTTACGCCCTGGAAGTATCAGAAGGAAGAGCCTGCCTTTGGTCTGCTTACTAGAGGTGCAAAGCAAACCCTCAGAACCTCAGCACCCACCACCCACAGACCAGCGCATCACCTCTCCATACTGGATACTCAGATACTGAATATGGACAGACTTGGTCTTCAGGCAAGGGTATAGACCGTGCAGGGTCCTTCAGACAAAGGGACCACACACAGCTTCCAGATACAAGGGAATAAAGCCTACAATGTAATCTTAGGTTGTTTCTTTCAGCTAGCCAATCAAATCACAAAACATTTCTTTCATGAATGGGCAACTGCCATCTTTCCCATTTCTTACTTCCAACTTCTGCTTTTGTTTTATTTTGGTCGGTTGTGGGGCTTGAACTCTGGGCCCGGGCGCTGTCCCTCAGCTCTTCAGCTCAAGGGGAGCGCTCTACCACTTGAGCTACAGAACCACTTCCATTACCACCAACTTCTGCATCAGCACACACCCTGGTTTTTGCAAAGAATAAAAATGAACGAAACCATGTGTAGTGAAATCTGAAGTGCAGCTCTGACTCCGATGTGTATAGTTCCTACTGGATGTCCCCGGAAGGAAGCATACTCACTAAAGGGCACACCTCACACACCCAGTTCTAGCACATTTCTACCGCAGCTGCACTTGGCAGCCACCCATGATGCACCACAACTTACTTCTCAGTATTTTAACTGTTTTCCCTCAAAAATGTATCTTTACAGGGTAAATCTTCCTCATTTGTCCTTTCCTGAGACAAAACAAGTTTGCTTTGTAGCTGTGCATGCAGTAGGTAGGCAGTAGGTAGGCCTCACTGCCCTGCTTCATGATGAACTTTCTTCATATCTAATGAGCTCCACAGTTTTCACAAAAAGTATGAAATGTGATATGATAAATGCATTTTATGGGGCTGGAGGACTGGCTCAGCTGTAGAGCACCTATCTAGCCAACAGAAGCCTTAAGCTCAATCAATTTGCAGTTCCTCAAAACAACAACAATAAGTTTATTGTAAACAATCGTATTTTACTTCCCACATAGCATCATTTTAAACAAGGGGCTTCCAAATAAGGAACCAGTAAGCACAACTCACTGATACACAATTCTGGGCAAAGCCCTTTTTGCTTACTTCAGTGAAATTTGAAAAGTACATGGCTTTAATGATCAGGCAATCAATCTTGCAAGTCAAGTGATTTCCAATTATTTTTCTTCAACAAAATTAAGTTGTCTTACTTAAACTGTCATTAAATAGATTGTCTAACTAATTTTGGTGACAGACAACTCCATAAGCATTTACTTTTGCCCACCTGCTCACCAGGACCTGCACATACAGAAACCCTCCCTTCATCTACCCTCACAGATTACTCTGTGAACATTTGGTTGGTTTATTTAAGCAAAGTCTACACTGGCGTTGACATCCACACAATGAAAAATAGCTGAAGAACTGATGCTGTTCTAGTCATTTAGCAATAAAGCCTTTCTGTGGAATAAACGACTTTTAAAATGTAATTATAAATTTTGCACCTGTTCTTCTATCATGATTTGATTAAAAAACAATCCATTTAGACTTTTTAGTGTAATTTCTAATTTACCATCCTAGCCATTTTTAAGTAAATAGTTGAGGAGTGTTAATTACAGTGTATCCAGACCAGCCCTCCCCATGGTTTCTGCATTTTTTAAGAAAGTCTCTTGGTATTTCCCAGGCCCATCTTGAATTCTTGAACATAAGTGATTTTCTTGCCTCAGCCTCTCGAGTGATAGGATCGTAGCTGCATATTAATGTACTTAGTCTTTAGAATTAATTTCACCCAGCAAACTAAAACTTTATGCCATTAGACAATTGTTTGGGAAATAATTTTAATAAGTACAACCATATGAAAATCTCTTCAACATCCAACTTCTATAAGCATTTTATTGCAGAGAAAATTATAGGTATCAACTATAAACTGTTAGAACAAAATAACAGAGCAAAAGTCTTACAAGAATAACGGCACAAAAAACTCAGTAAAAAGAAAACTCTAAATTTCAATGTCTGGTGGTGGTGTCAAATCGCAAATTAGAATGCTAGTTGCCAGAGATTGGCAAAAGAATGGGGTCCATTGTTAGTGGGGGCAGTCTCAGTTTTGCTAGTCATAAAAAGCTCTGAAGATGGGTGGTAGTTGATCACTAATATGGATATAGTTAGCAATACTGACTTATACACTTAAAATGGTTAATATGTTAATTTTATGTGGTATGTAAAAAGCAAAAAATGAAAAAAGAAAATTACTGGGAAATGAGATGTTTAAGGAGACCCTGAAGAGTTGTTATACATCCCTGTAGACCTAGACAGTCACAGACTTGTGGGCTTTGGTGCACACATGGGTCCAGCAGGTCTTCATCTTTCCAGGTGGATTGTGGCAAGAGCTCACACCTGTAATCTTAGCTACTCAGGAGGCTGAGATCTGAGGACCATGGTTTGAAGCCAGTCCGAGCAGAAAAGTCTGAGACTCTTATCTCCAATAAACTACTCAGAAAAAGCTGGAAGTGGCACTATGGCTCAAGTGGTAGAGTGCTAGTCTTGTCTTTTCTTTTCTTCTTTCCTTTTCTTTTTTTAGTCAGTTGTGGGGCCTGAACTCTGGGCCTGGG